GACAACTAAGTAAAGTGAACAGCAGTTGTACATACATGTATGGGTTGTGATGGTATTGAGGAACTATTAATAACTACTAATTTTGATTTTCTGTATGCTTACCACAAATGGCTGATTTCCATTTGGTAATGGGACAGTAGAGACATGTCAATTGCTTTCCAGCATAATATCTACCATTAAACATACTGATAGCCTTAGAACATTCATCTTCACTGTTATACTGAACATACACATTTCCTCTCAAGTGTGGTTCCCAATTACAGCACACCTAAAAGAAAAGAATACCCATGAAATAGAACATGAAAATTTTGCCAGTATGCCACTTTATAAATGAATACATTTTGAATACATCCATAACATGATGTAAAACAAATATATAAAATTTGAACATAGTCAGTCAAAGTATATCAGAGATATGGCTCTAGAAGCGCATTCATTTAAACAAAATGGCCACCAGTCAGCCATTTTTAATCTAATCTTAAAATAAATTATGTGCATTAGGAACCCATAATCTCTAATGTATGTACCAAGTTTGAAAAAAATCCATCCATAAACGCCAAGATCCAGAGATCTATAATGCCAGAGATGCTTGATTTTTGATGATTTTTTTAGCACAAAAATGGCTGCCAATTGGCCATTTTGAATCACATAGTCAAACCAATATATCTATGATATGATGTATAATGAATACATAAAATTTTAACATAATCAGTCAAAGCATGGCAGAGATATGGCACTTGAACTGCATTTATTAAAACAAAATGGCCACCAGTCGGCCATTTTAAATTGGATCTGAAAAATAAAATAAAAAAGGTTTCACAATGTATGTATGTACCATATTTAAACAAAATCCATCCATAAATGCTTGATTTTGATGATTTTTTAGCACAAAAATGGCCACCATTCGGCCATCCTGAATCAGATCATGAAATAAATTAATGTGCATATGTATAATTAAACTAAAATGTACTCCCTGGTGGCTCATAATGAGCGAAAGCACACTCTGCACTACATACACCTCGCATATAATGGAGTGCAAAGTGTGCTTGAGTTCATTTTTAGCCACAGGGGAGTACATTATCGTTATTATATTGTTGCATTGGCAATGGCAGAGAATTTTCACACGTTAAAACTAAGATAATTTGGAAGAAACAACGAAAAACATTCAACAGAATCGCGTCTACGTTATATGGGCCTTGTAATCTGTATACTATATATAACGTCAATGCATTCCCATTCACACACACAAGCACAATGCAGTGTGCAGCGGTCATTTCAACATAACATGTATACAAAAAATAGACAAACTTGGAACTCCCTATCCTACATGATGTTAATTTTGCGATGATCGGGAAGACTAGTGATGTGTAGATGGGTTGAAGCTCGTAAAACAGACAGCAACGGCATGCTGTACTGCACTTCATCTTGATTGCGAGCTAAAGCGTAAAATTCCCACAGCAAGTCGATGAGCTCAATGACAGGAAGGTGGCATAAAAACATACTCCCCATTTAAACTGCTGTGAAGTAATTTTTTCATTTCTTGCATTTTCGAGCACATTTAATTGGGATTTGTCGACATCGATAAAACGGGCCATCGTGTTTGCCTTTGGTGAGCTACGTTTATTTACACGTTGGATGTCGGTACCGGGTATTTTATCGCGAAGTTGGGATTGGCCAGATGACAATTTGTGTTTGTTGTTATGGCGGGAATAACATTTTTCATGTAAACTAAGAACAAATAATTATTTTTCATATAGCTCATATTTCATATAGAGTTATTCATTTTCATCATTATATTCCTAAGCATGGAACGGAGGCCTTAATGCTCAATAATGCAATACATTATCACAAATAATCTGTGGCAATGACGTTATAAAATTCGCTGGTATCGACATTGCTACAATATAATATTATGTAAGATGTATGTGTGAAGTTTGAATGTGATTGGTGCAGGCATGTCTAAGATACAGGTTCGATGGAAGCACAGGCACATGGACACACAGACACACAAAGGTCAAAACATTTTCAGACTGCGTCCGAACGGGGACTAAATATGGATTCAGAACCACTTTATAAATGTCATAGAACACAAATATTGAGTCAGCAGTACAGATTTCTTTTATTTTTCACAAGGCCAATCATAAAATAGTTAAAAATCCATACTTACTTTGAACTGTATCACTTCACCCAGCGCTCTGAATTCACCCAATACATCATCATAAAAACTTAAGAAATCAGCATATGCATCTTTTTCATCAAATTCTAAACAGATGTCTGTATCATATTCATCCCTCATACACTGTTCCATTGAAAAATTACTAAACATTTTTGGAATAACTAGTGTAGTACTGACAGAGGTTGGTGGATGATAACGCGAACATCTATAAAGGAAGAAAGCACATTGTCAGTGAAAAAAGGAATACTTAGTGATGGTTATACATCACTAAGTATGTTCTAATATTGTGTCTCTAGTACTGTGATACATCACTAAGCATGAACCAATATTGTGTCTCTAGTATTGTGATATGTCACTAAGTATGTACCAATATTGTGTCTCTAGTACTGTGATATATCACTAAGCATGTACCAATATTGTGTCTCTAGTATTGTGATATGTCATTAAGTATGTACCAATATTGCGTCTCTAGTACTGTGATACGTCACTAAGGATGTACCAATATTGTGTCTCTAGTATTGTGATATGTGACTAAGCATGTACCAATATTGTGTCTCTAGTACTGTGATATATCACTAAGCATGTACCAATATGGTGTCCATAGTACTGTGATACGTCACTAAGGATGTACCAATATTGTGTCTCTAGTACTGTGATATATCACTAAGCATGTACCAATAGTGTGTCTCCAGTATTGTGATATGTCATTAAGCATGTACCAATATTGTGTCTCTAGTACTGTGATGTCACAAAGGATGTACCAATATTATGTCTCTAG